CCTATGGAGAGTCCCCATTTAGATAGGTAAGTAAACGTGTGTGTGTGTGTGTGTGTGTGCTGTGATGAGTCAGTGTGAGCAGCAGACAGTCTGATGGTGATGAGACATGCTCAGCATTAATGTGATTACTACACAGATTTCACATACTTCCTTAAGGACACAGCGAACCATCTGTTATCAGTGTGTGTGTGTGTGTGTGTGTGTGCGTTCTGATACCTGTCATTGTCTTTGGACTGTCTATATATGTGCTGGTTCCTCTTCTCCGAAGATTCAGATTGAATATCTTGCTCCACATTGTAGTTTTTAGCTGCACAAACACATGAAACACTTTTATTCATCAGTAAATCAAATATTTGAGTTACAGTTACAAACCCACTGTATGATCATACTGATGTATTTCAGAGTGAAACGAGACAGTCAGACTGGAGTTTATGCATTAGAAGTGTCCGCTGTGCAGCAGTATGGTGTGAGTGTGCAGTGTGACTGCCATGTTTTGGATGTGTTGGATGAACTTACGGTCACTCCACTGCAGTTCACCGACGGCCCATCCAGCCACTGCGCTCTGTAGAGCTGCCCGTCGCCGAAATCACAGTCCAGCTCAGCACCCTGCGCACACACACACACACACACAGCATGACGAGCAGAGCCACAGCTATGTCCAATCCCATCAGACTGAAGGCATGTTCAGACAACATCACAAGACCATCAGACAGATAACAGATCTCAGCGATGCCACGCAAACCCTCCCAAACCACACACAGTCACATCACACTCCTGATAGAACGTAGATCATAAAACCCCACTTTCTCTCAAGGAGGTTTCCCACACTCTCAACCAGTGAATGCCATGCTGTATGCAGCAGAAAACATGCTCAGAATACACACAGACACATATAAACGTGTGTGAAGCCATCTGGAAGTCATAATGCAGACCCACACGGAGAGGAAGCGCTGCGAGGCCTTCATTATCCACAGTACAACAGCAGAAGGAGTGTGAGTCTGTGTGAGCCTGTCAGAGCCGCTCAAGGCCTACGACACGACATGAGCTTCAGCAGTTAGCCGTTAGCTTCAGGTAGCTTTTGTTCTGCTGTCAGACACATGGTCTTGACCTGTGGATTTGGGCCTCTTTGAGGCCACTGGCTGCTGCAGGTCTGTGAAAAGTAGCTACATTACTCTTCAGTTTGCAAAAGAGCATATCTCAGGGATTATACCTCATTTCTGGTCCACAGAAGAACCCAAAGTTTGGGACGGCAGGCCCATTACCACACAAAATAGCATAGTCATCCCTCAGTTTGTAAGAATCAGCAGAAAACACTCTGAGAGTTACACACGTCCAGTGGAAGTCAGCATGTTTTTAGCGTGCTTGTTTGGATTGTGTTGCAGATGTTGTGTATTCCAGCCTTTACAAAAGGCATCCACTCACCACAGCCTCTTCTAGCAGCATGATATATTATACTGACAGCAGCCAAGAGTGTGAATTTAGTGACTAAACAGGATCACAAGAGCTGTGCAAATCAAAGTCCATCAATACTGAGACAGAGCCCTGACAGGAGCCGTGTCCCCAGACCACAGATGTGTGTGTGTGTGTGTGTGTACAGACACTCGAGTCCTACATGCTCTATGTTCTCGAGCTCCAGGGAGAAGACATGAGTGCTTCCAGTGGGCAGTGGAGGAACATCATCGGCCAGCATCCTGGGACAGCACGAGGAATTCTGAGACAGAAACAAAAGGCGAGAACAAATGAGATTCAAGAAAAACAACAGTGAGCAGTGTTTAGAGAACCATGAATGCGAGCAGTCTCCTGCGTGTGTCTGTGTGAGGGAATATGTCAACACCAGAGGAAGGGTGGGCACACACAGTGAAAATGCAAACATCAGTTATTTATGGCTGTACAAACACAATCACACCACATTCTGCCCCGCACTATGTTTTTATGGAAAGATGGAGTTTTTGTTTTTTTTCTATGGAATGTTGACCAAAAAGTCTCTTGAATTGCCAGCAGTCTGCACAATTCACTGATGCATGTTATTTTCAAGATAAAAATGAGAGAGACATGCAGTTGTTTTTAAGTCATTTGGAAATCATACTTTTGTACCATATAAACAAACTTTAACATTTACTGTGTCCAAATTTCCTCTCCTCTCCAGCCATGACTATTAAAGCTGAAACTAAACATGTGTGTTATGGTGGGTATTACAGTAAATCATCTGCTTCTACTGCCGGTTTTCTATTTCAGGGCAATTACTGCCTTAGTGGAACAGTCTGACCTAATCTTGTGGAGCACATTGGTTCTATAAATTAGTTAAACTGTCTGAATGAATTTAATGGCGCAGTTTAATGAAGTTACTTGTATTGCCCTCCTTATGTCTTTATTATGCCTTAAATTACCAGGAGCACATATAAGTAAGTCTTTTTTTTTAGTTAAGCATTTTGCACCACTTGTAATCATTTCAAGGAGGAAATATTAAGACAAGTAAAAAGAGAATTGCAATAATCAAGGCAAGAGGAAATAAAAGCATGCATAATCATCTCCATCTCTAATGTGGATGTTTATCAGTTTCTCAACTGATAAAAACAAGTACGAATGAGAGAATTAACATGCCGAGCGAAACTCAAAGCCTGTCCATAAAAACATCTAAATAAAGGGCCAAGTCTTTCCATCACCTTTGGCAGAACTCTAGCAGCAGCAGAAATAAGAACTTCTGATTTATCAGAATTTAACAGCAAGTAATTATCTGCCATCCAATCTTTGGAGGACTGCGTTCTCCACTAAGGACACATTATTCATGCATCATGTCTATGATGAGGTGTAGATGGGCTCAGTGTTGGGGGTAACGCATTACAAGTAATGCGAGTTACATAATCAGATTACTTTTTTCAAGTAACGAGTAAAGTAACGCATTACTTTTTCATTTACAAGAGAGTTACTTTTTCAAATAAGTAAAGCAAGTTCCTTTTTTTCCCTAATTTATTGATTGACAGCTCTCCTGTCCCCATGTTGAGAAATCAGAAGATGTTACTGTAGATCTAAAATAAATATGAATATGCATTAATTCATCTCACTCACAAAAAAAAACACAGATTCAGTATTCCTCAAAATGAATAAAAATAATGCAACTCAGAATATGACGCAAACCTGCAATAATTAAATGTTAAACAACACAAATATGCTTTATGTATTTAATCCCATTCTATTAAGCAATGTCTTTGCTTCTGACCTTCGATGATCCAGTTCAACCGTACTAATAAGTAAATAAATTACTTTTTTTATTGCTGAAGTGTGCTGAAATGTCTTCTTCTGCATTCTACAGTAACGGACGTAAATTTACATTTCCTTCAGCCTGAGGTTTATTCATTTCACTTTTGGTGTGAAAAGGCTTTTATATTTGCCAAAAACAGAACTTTTTTATTTTAAAAACAAACAAGCAAGCCCTGTCCAGATTTAAAAATTAACGCAATGCATTACTTTCCATAAAAAGTAACTAAGTAACGTAATTAGTTACTTTTTTAGAGAGTAACTCAATATCGCAATGCATTACTTTTAAAAGTAACTTTCCCCAACACTGGATGGGCTCCTCTCTAGGGTTTGAACAGAGAATCAATCTATAGTGCTTTCTATGCACTATAAAAATGTAAAGATACTTCTGTCTCATCTGATGTTTTAAATCATATTTTTGCCTTCATTTGAACCCAGTGTATGGTGCTATATGAACACTGAGCTCTGCGGTGGAGCAGACGTGAGTGTGTGACGGAGCGCCGCTCACCTCCAGAAGAGCATGCGGTGTGTTGACTTTGCTGGAAACACACACACTGAGCTGCGGGTCCCAGTAACAGCGCCACGCCGCACTCAAACAGCTTGTGCACCTACAGGATGACACAGGACTGGTCAGAAACATTCTCATACTCTGCTCACACCTCACACTTAACGGTGATGTTTTACTCACATGAGTCACATGAACTAGCAAACTTGGACAATATTTATGTGCTATCATGAAATCGGGTAGTGCAACATGGCTTTTGATTCCAGCGATATGGTTCATCTGTGCCTTAATTGTTATCTTTATCATTGTATGAGACTGCTGGGTCTGATGGCAGCTGCGTCCAACGTGATACCTATTGGCCTGCTGTACATGAGGCACCTACAGTGGTGGCGCAAGACCAGGGGGTTCTACCTGAGGGGAAACCCGCTTCGCATGTTCAAGGTCACGCGGCGATACCTACGTGCCTACTAGCGTACCAGATCCTTGTGTGGTCCCAGGGCAAACTTCTCTCGCTGAGAGCAGTTTACATTCCTGGGCATCTCAATTTGGGAGCAGACATCCTGTCGAGACAGGGGCCGAGGCCCGGGGAATGGATGCTTCACCCCAGGGTGGTGAAGCAGATATCGAGAGTTTTGGCCAGGCAGGTGGACCTGTTTGCGACTCTTATGTCATCGCACTGTTCCCTCTGGTTCTCTCTGAGTCATCCAGCTCCTCTGTCAGGTGGGCAGACACCCCCTAGTTACATGTTTCCTCCATGGTGCGCTGAGGCTGAGGCCTCCGGTACGATCCAGACCAGCAGAAGCTTGGGGTCAGGGCTCACACTACTAGAAGTGTGGCGGCCTCTGAGGCCTTCCTGGCAAGGTGTCGCCATGCAGGACATCTGCGACGCCGCGGGATGGTCCACGCCCCTGACCTTCGTCAGGTTCTAGGACATAGACATGCGAGCCAATCCTGGCTCTTCTGTTCTCTCGCCCTAGCTGTGCAGTCTTCCACACTAGGCAGAGACTTAGAAGTCTGGCGCTTTGTTTCTCGTTTACTATGTTAAGGCTTTCCCCAGTTTTTTTTTTTTTTTTTTGGTCTGTAGGTCCGTAGAGTTTTGGTGTTTTTGGTGGTTCTGAGTGAGAAATGAATTCATGTGCTTTGAAAACTGTAGTCATTGAATTAATTTTGTGTCAAAGCAATGATAATTGATCCACAGTTCAGCCTCATAGATGCTGTTGTGCTCATTGAAAGAGTGATCTAAGTACTGAGAAATGGATCCTAGAGATTGTTAAAAACTGTAAGAGGAAGCAGTCAGTGTGTCCATATGTAAGTGTATGTGTGTTCTTACAGCAGTGCTTCTTGAACTTTTTTTGGCCACACCCACTGTTAACCTTTTAAAGACTTGAGACACACTTTGAGATGCTCTGCCTCACGGGTTCAGAAAAGTGTGCATGTGTGTGTGGAAAAGACCAGATAACTGAAGAACTGAAAACGGCTTACTGACCGTGCCGCATGACTACAGGAGCGCACAGACGACACAGTTTATGTGGACGTGAGGAAACGTGTGCATGTGTGAGACATGCTGACTAACAGATCAGAGATCAGAAAGTGGCTGTGTGAAACAGTGCTGTGCGTCTGCAGGAGGAGCAGAGGTGCTTTCATCTTCACAAACACAGATGAGCGTCAGTGGAGCCACACAATTAGCCAGGCATTCATTACACCGCTATCACTGACAGAGAGGAGGTGTGTGTGTTTGTTTAAGATCAACTCCAGCACTGCTCTGTGTGTGTGTGTCGGTGGGGTGTTATCTCTCTTGCTGGAGTGACTGATTGAGAGTCTCTCTGGGGGGCCGACAGTGTGTGTGTGAGAGAGAGTAACCAGACATCATCTCAAACACCCTGATCACAAAAACTCTTCTCTCCCTGTTTGTGATTGTGAAAGTCTTTCTCTTTTTCTGTTAAAAACACCTACACTTCAAATCATGTTTTGCATAAAGAAATGTAATGTTTTATAATTACATGATTTTGTAAAGTCACATTTTTTTCTTTTGATTTTGGGGTGAAATGTGACCAGACCAGAGTTAATATCTCTTTTCTGTTAGTGGTTCATGTAATCGAGACTCTGACACTCGTGTGACGTGCTCAGCGGTGCAGAAACTGCGCTCAGTTTAGGGTTTTTTAGTCATTTATAGATCAGTGTGAAGAGTGTGCACTGGTGTGAATGTTTTAAATGGCATTAACATGCGGATGATGCAGAAGATGCTGTTATAGATGTAAAGTTTCACATTGCACTGCCTCTCCTGCGGCCCTGAGCTTATTATCACCTTCACAGATGGCCACATGTAAATGAACTCACACACACCTGACAATCAACGCTTTTAAACAGCTGAAATCACCGCTGAACACTATGACAACAGCACATGTGGTGTCACAGCAGAAACGTGAGCACAGATTTTACTGCACCTTTTATACCACAGTATGGAGATTTGTGCGGTCTATAATGTGCTACACTTCATGCGTGTTGTGCAGTGTGAGACCCAATGGTTTGTTATGAATAATCTTGTCAAGTTCTAAATAAAAAGAGAAAAATAATAAAAAGAAATGAAGTACCTTTCATTCACTGGATTATCCAAAACAAGGTGTCACCCTTTGGTTATGTAACATAACATTTCATTGTATTTCCAGCAAAATTAAGATTAATTGCATATATACTGAGGATTTTGGTCATAGCCATAACAGCATGAAATCATTTTACAGCTGTAACTGTGAGTAATGCCTTGACTATATATACGTGCATGAGTGTGTGTGTGTGTGTGTGTGTGTTTACTCACGCAGTTTTGTAGTGGATTTCTCCAGTTAGTTTGCACTCATAAATGATGAAACTTCCGGAAACCACAGGAACACCATTAACCTTGATGGCCACGGGGACCGTGACGTGATCTAAACACAGACAAATTATTCCACACTACATGGAAGAAGCAAAAGTATTCTGGGCTGAAATAGCATCTGCTAACAAAATATATGACAAAGTTTGTACATTGTGTGTTTCTGGCTGCCTTCTGTCTTGTCTTGCAATCAACTGCTTTTGACAGCCTTAGGTTCATACCATTCATTTAAGAAAAACTATCTCAGCTGGAGTGATTCAGCAAAGAATCAGACGAGCTTTGTTTGCTTGCTAAATCATTCTGCCCACTGAAGCTCTGTCGGCTGTGTATGTACCTTTGCCGAAGGGGATTGTGGGATACATGTGAAGGGGCAGCAGAGGGCAGGTCTGGATCTGGGTTGTGCCGTAGTCCAGATGTACGGTGGCATTTGTGGTGATTCCCATGCCATAATCACACTCCAACTGCAAACCCTGCAGATCCGGCACACTGCCGTTGATCAGGATCCCCACGTCCTGAGAGGAGCACATGATCAGCACACGCTACGCCTGACACACACACACACACACACACACACACACACAGACACACACACACACGCACACAGACACACTCTCTCTCTCACACACACACTCTCACACACACACACACACACACACTGTCTCCGCAGCACCATCAGTCTCACAAAACACAGTCACAGTTCACCCCAAAACCACAAGAAAGAAGAAATTACGCTTGGAGTATAACTTAACAAAAATCTCCTTCGCTTTACTGTAATGCTAAAACAAAGAAACCGTTTCTAAAACATAGTAATAATTGTTTTAACTTTGATTTATTTTGATTACATTTTAAAATCACTTTATTTGGTCATTTTAAAATACAGTAAATGCATTACAGTAAAGAGAATCTAGTGATTTTTTTATTTTTTTAAAACCCTGAAGAGTGAAATGTTTCAGTACTGAGAATCTGTGGGTTAAATATGCTTAAATTGTCTGAAAAAATAAAGTCATATAGCAAAAAGTTATTTTAAAGGGGTCATATGATGCGATTTCAGTTTTTCCTTTCTCTTTGGAGTGTTACAAGCTCTTGGTGCATAAAGAAGATCTGTAAAGTTGCAAAGACTAAAGTCTCAAATCCAAAGAGATATTCTTTATTAAAGTTAAGAGTCAACCACGCCTACCTAAAACGGCCTGTTCTAACACGCCCCCACATGTCTACGTCACTATGTGGGAAGATTTGCATAATGCCGCCCAAATGTTCACGCAAAGAAAGAAGTCGTAACTTTTATTCTCGCTGTAGTATTGTTGTTGCCGCCGCCATGTCATGAAGGCACTGTGTGTTTCATTGTGAAAGCTAAACTTGTTTGGTCTTCCAAAAGCGGATGATATCCGCTTCGTCATGCCTGGAGCTGATCCGTGCTGGTCGCTGAGGAAATACATCAACTTCGCGCTGTGGATCGCCGGATCGGCTCTCATTCTAGCCCGCCGGCCTCCGCTCACTCTAGCTCGCTGGCCTCCTCTCACTCTAGCCCCTGGCCTCCGCTCACTCTAGCCCGCCAGCCTCCTTTCACTCTAGCCCCCGGCCTCCTTTCCCTCTAGCCCGCCGGCCTCCTCTCATTCTAGCCCGCCAGGCCTCTTCTCACTCTAGCCCGCCAGGCCTCCGCTCACTCTAGCCCCCGGCCTCTGCTCACGCTAGCCCCCGGCCTCTGCTCACTCTAGCCCGCTGGCCTCCTCTCACTCTAACCCGCCAGGCCTCCGCTCATTCTAGCCTGCCGGCCTCCTCTCACTCTAGCCCGCCGGCCTCTTCTCACTCTAGCCCGCCAGGCCTCCGCTCACTCTAGCCCCCGGCCTCTGCTCATGCTAGCCCCCGGCCTCTGCTCACTCTAGCCCGCCGGCCTCCTCTCACTCTAGCCCCCAGCCTCCGCTCACTCTAGCCCGCCGGCCTCCTCTCACTCTAGCCCTCCAGACGTTCCTCACT